CTGGTCGTGTATCTGCCTTAATTCACATTTAATCCTCACAGCATTCCTGCAAAGTAGATGTGATGTGTTATCATGGTTTTTTTCCAGGAGGAAAGCTTCTTTACAAGGTTAGGTAAATTGCCCAAGGTCACAAAGTTAGTGAGAAGCAGAGCTATAATTTTAACCCAGCCGGGCTTGACTATATGTTAGAGGCCTCCCAGGTCGTGTGTGTGTGTGTGTGTGTGTGTGTGTGTGTGTGTGTGTGTGCCTTTTTTTCCAGGAGGAAAGCTTCTTTACAAGGTTAGGTAAATTGCCCAAGGTCACAAAGTTAGTGAGAAGCAGGGCTATAATTTTAACCCAGCTGGGCTTGACTATATGTTAGAGGCCTCCCAGGTCATGTGTGTGTGTGTGTGTGTGTTTACATGTAGAACCACTGCCCTCCCCATTTCCATACTGAGGTGAGACATGCTGTGCAATGTCTTCCCACTAGAGTAGCCTCTGTTCAAATGGCCCAAAGTAGAAGCAAGCTCAGAGCTGCCCCTGTGCCTGGCAAGCTTGATTGTGATATCTGCTCTGCTCAGTGATTCAAGCAACTCAACTAGTAGCCAAACCAAGAATGTATCAAGCACTGCATTAGAGAATTGGGGATTGCCATGCACCTCAAGACTTCACCAGCTACTGTAACATGATTTAACATTGACTTAATATTACCAATCTGGTCATCAAAGTTATGTATTCTGTGTTATCTCAAAGTATATAATCAACCCTATGTTTTCTTAAGGTATGTAAATCGATCCTGTGCTTTCATCTCTGGCCAAGTTCTCATTACGTTTGAGCAGCCTACTTTGGGAGTAAGGAGTGCTGACACTGGCAGTAAAACCACAAATGGCTGTTTGAAGCAAATTGAGAAAGAACATCAGAACAAAGGGAGCGAGCCTGAGTGGGAGCTGTGGTGACTCCTTTTCAGCCCTCTCCCCTTATTCCCATTTTCTTTTCTCAAGAGACACTGCATGTCTATACTCCCTCTAGGAATTTCCCTCCTCCCAAATTCCTACCAACTCCCTATAGGAATCGCTGGCTTGACCAGAAATGTTAGATGGGTTTTTGAGGACAGGAGTCCCCCATCTTCTTGAGTTGCTGGCACTTGAATAAACCACTTTCCTTCTCACCAGTGATGATTTCAGCATTACCTCATTTGAAAAATAGGGTATTTCCTCCCAATCCTAATGGGGTGTCCTGTATCTAATCTAGTGTGTCCAAATAAGTATGTCACCTTTGTAGGAGCAAATGGTATATCAGGTGGTTTGTTTTAGTTGCATAGTTTCTTTACATTTTGTATGTTATATATTTTGTGGGGTGTTATATATACATCCAGGAACATGTGTATCTTTAAAATGTCATCAATATATCAGGCACATTTGTTAATATATATTGAACTGTCATTGTCATTGACATAATATATATTGAATTGTCATTGTGAATAATATGAATTGTCATTGTGGATAATTTAAATACTAGAAGTTGGAAATTATGATGAAAGTTATGGTAAAGTCTAATTCTTGGGCAATATGAACTGGAAAGGTTATATCCCATGGCTCATGTTTCTAGGGACAGCTATCCTAAATGGAAGAGAGGAGCATATGATCAAACTAATCTATTACCCAGTGTTAGTTTATAGTAACAAACATACTATACAGTGGCTTATATAGCATAAAAGTGTTAGCTCACCCATCGAAGGCTAGAAGTTTAAGATTAAGTTGTCAGCAGGGTTGGTTTCTTCTAAGGGCTGAGAGAATCTGTTCCATGCTTCTCTTCTAATTTCTAGTTTTTTTGTTGTTTGTTTGTTTGTTTTTGCAATCTTTGGTGTCCCTTGGCTTGGTGAAGTATCATCCTGATCTCTGCCTTCATCATTTCATGGCATTCTCCCTGTATGCATGTCTCCCTGTCCAAATTTCCCCATTTATAAGAATATCAGTCATACTGGACTGGGCCCACTCTAATGACCTCGCCTCAACAAATCACATCTGCAATCACCATATTTCCAAATGAGCTCACATTCTGAGGTAGTGGGGTTTAGGACTTCAACATATGAAGTTGAGTGTGGACATAATTCAACCCGTAACACTCAGTTATAGGTTTTAACATATCTTCAACTAGTATTTGTAAAATTATTCCTCAAAGTGATTATACCAATTCACCCCACAAGCAGTGTATGAGTGTTCCTGTTGCTCCACATCCTTGCCAACACTTGGTATTGTCAGTCTTTCATTTTTGTCCATAAAATGGCAATAAAATTATAATTACTTTCCATTCACTTAATTATTAGAGAGCTTGAGTCCTTTTCATGTTTATCTAGTGTTCCTGTTTCCATTTTTGTCAATTGCCTATTAATTTCTTTTGCCCTTTTTCTATCATATTTACTTAAAACATATGTACTGAATGCCTATTATGTACCAGATATTATTTTAGGCACCTGAGATGGTAGGACATAATTTCCATTCACATATGGTTTATATTCTAGAAAGAATGATATAAAAATCCAATATAAGGTAATTGGACAGCATATTAAGTGATAAGGGCTGAAGAAAACTAAAGCAGAACCCTGGCTGGTGTGGCTCAGTTGGTTGGGTGTCTTCCTGTACACCAGAAGATTGCTGATTTGATTCCTGGTCAAGACACATGCCTGGGTTGTGACTTAATCCCTGGTGGGGGGCTATGCAGGAGGCAGCCAATCAATGTTCCACTCTCGCATCAGTGTTTCTCTTTCTTCCTCTCTAAAAAGCAATACAAATATATATATTAAAGAAAAGTGAAGCGGAGAAGAAGGTAAGGTGTGCTTGTGGTGACTTGCAATTTAAAATCTCAGGGCCAGGTCAAGCCATATTGAGAAGGTAATATTTTGCAGAAATACTTAAAAGAAGTGAGAGAGCCAGCCATGTGCCCAACTGGTGGAAGGATTTTTCAAGAAAATGGTTAGAAGAGCAGCTACCTGAGTAGGGAAGGAGAATGGGAGGTCAGGTCTGAGAGGTGAGAGGTAGAAGGGGCAATCTGGTGTAGAACCTCATAGGTGGGTGTTAGGACTTTAGCTTTTACACTTCAGTGAAAAATCATGGGGGGATTTTGAGCAAAGTGCTTTCTAAAAGCATTCTTCTAGGTTCTAGGTTGAGTATAATAATACCCAAATCAAAAATTAACAGCAATCCTGTGTGCGGTGCTTTGTTCTATGCACTGAGCCAGGAACTTTACATATATTAACTTTACATATATTAACTCATTCCAGACAGGCAGGGAGACCTGCTCAGGTTATTAGTCCTCTCTCACTGATTTATAGAAGTTCCTTATATGTTCTAGGGACTGCTTATCTTTTGGTGATTGTATGTGGTTGCAAATATCTTCTCCCCTTTTGTGGGGTGTTTTACTATTTAAATTATGACTTTTGCTATTCAGAATATATATATTTCTCTCTTGTGCTTTTCTCTCATTAACTTTTTAGTAAATGCCTTCTTTAACTCAAGTCACCCACAACTTTTGGCTAGTTATTTCCTCTTCTACCTGCTACCATGACACTTGGTACAAACCTCTTTTGGAACACTAGCATAACCTAGCCTTGCATGTCTTCATCATTGTTCTGTGCGTTCCAGGCTGTGGGATCCTGTCTTACAAATTATGTCCCAGGAACTAGCATGTGCTCAATAAATGTTTGTAGAGGTCGGTGGGGAAATGATACAATGATGATTGCTTCAGGGAGTGAAATGGAGGAGAAAGTGGTTGCAATGGGAAACGCAACTGCATGCTGCATAGTGCCGCGGCTCAAAATCCCGAGAACACTGGTATGCTCGCACGAATAAACCTTTGCAGTTCAGCGATCACTGGGAGAGCTCCACGACCACCCTCATTTTACTGACCCCACTGTGCAGGAATTCGCCAAAGGGGAAGCAGAGTGCCGGTTCCTAGAATGGCTACTCTCGATATTTTAGTTGCTTGGAGTATTTCCCTCAACCTTAGGACAATGGTCCGCGGTGGAAGGGCCAGGAACCGAAGGTGAGGCACGGAACACAAACCCCGGCCCCCACGCCGGGATTAGACGCCGCTATGCTCACTGCGCATGCGTCATTGGCGGTCCTGAGGGGGAGGAGCCAGGCTGTTTCCAAGGTGACGGAGTGGCGGCCTCGGTGGTGGATTGAGCGGGTCTGGACGAGCTTCCCAGAGGGCTGCGCGCGCTCGGCCGTCGGCGCTGCCATGGCGAGCCTGCTGAAGAAGGTGAGGCGGACGGAGGTAAC